AACTAAAAATACACTCAGTCCTGATTGTAGCCAGCTTATTTTGATGGGGATTATTTACATATGCCATTTAGATCTTTAATGTTTCTGTGGTGAACTTTTTTAAAGCCTCAGCAATTGATTCCCTATTAACCGTTTTTTTTAATCTAATGGAGAGCAAATCCTGGTATTTAATCTTAACTGTAAATTTAAAAGCAGAACAAAATTAATTGTTACACTTTGGAAATTGTTTCAGATGTGTAACAAGAAAATCCTATGTATTTGGCTATGTAAAGCAGGCAGGTTTGGCAAAGTACTACCTTCATATGACTTGCTACCTTGTTACCTATATTAAGTCTTGAATTTAGAATTTATGCCTCTCAATTTTAAGCTGTAATTCTTAAAATCCTTACTGTTGCTTGCAGATTGAGAGTGGGTCTTCTGTAGAAGCAGTAACTGCCTGACATTTGAAAGACCCAACCAAAAATGAACTCCCACAAACAGATTATGAGAAGCTGAGGAGCAATAATCAAGATAGGTTCATAAGCTTATTGACTTTGTGTTCTTTATTTCTTTTTCTACAAACTATTTTTTCATTCATATGCTCTGCTGGCTGCTGGTTTTGCCTCTTGTTGACACACGATGCAAAGGACTAAGTTGTCAGAGAGGGACTACACATCTTAGCATTGACAATGTCATATACAACATCGTATACAACCGCTCAATGTAAGTCACAGTCTGTACAATAGATACAGATACTCTTGTATTAAATCACATGGAAAACAGCATTTGTTGAGAGATGCTCACCTCAGCTCTTATGTTTCAGTTTGCTGAAAAGAAGAGCTTTTCAAGGGTATCACTTTTTGAAACTTAAATGTCTGGGTTGGGTTGGAAGGAAGAACTTATCTTCACTCACATTCACTGCCCTGACCTCCTGCAGGAGTGCCAAGGACAGGCCAACCCCATCTTACAAAAATACGAAGCTGGTGTTTCTCTTGAACCCTCCTGGCACATTCCCTACACTATGACAGCTATGGTTCAAATCCCTCCAATACTTTAGTTGAACCTTGGAGATTACCTTGTGTCTGGAAGTGTACGGACAATGTTATGTCCTCCTGGCAGTGGTATTTTATTGGAAAGAGAAGAAGCTACATCAAGAGGACATCTCCCATCTTGGAGCTGCAAGGCAAAATATGTGGTGAATTGTCTACTTTGGTTCTTCTTAAAAAGCATCATTTTATGAGGACTGACTTTGCCGGACATTTAACTTTTAGCTCTCTCATCCAGTGCTGCAGTTTAAAGAGGAGTTTAAATGGGTGTAACTTGTCACTGCTGCCAAAAGGCATGGTCCCATCCCATTGCTACATGGCTGTATGACTGCTTGTGCCAGCACAAAATGGGCAGAGGTAGAAGACACAAGAAGAAGCAGGAGAGGGCAGGCAGGACTGCCTCCTTGCAAGCTATCGCAATTCAAAACCTTTCATGAAATTCCCTAGATTTGAGCTGAGAGGAATGTTGAGTAAGAATTAAATTATTATATGCATATCTGACAGCAGAAACATATGCACCTCCTGGGCTGGGTGAAAGGAAACAGGTGAATAGTATCCAAGCATTGAATATTTATGCATCAAAATGGTAGCTTGCTGCTTTCATCTCCCTGTTGAAGCTAACCCAGAATATCCTGTCATAGATCCTGACTGCCTTCGCTTAGAAGATTAGTGGCCCAGCTGGTATTTTCCTCTTCTAGCAATTCTGTAAAAACACTTTCTTTGGTGAGCTAGATCAATTTTTGTTTTACTTATTTAATAATGGATGAGATTTACGCAGCATACAGCCTCATCCTCTCCCTCTTACATTTCTTTCAACATCATAGAATCACTGGCCTACTTGCATGACACAGACCTCTAAAAGATTGAGACGTCTGCCTGAGGTCTCTAACTTTGTTACTAACCCATTCGCAATGCCATCTCTGTGGGCCATGGACACATCCTGCCACATTTCTATTTCAGTAGTGACATCTATATTATTGACATTGCCAGGGAATAGCAGAAATCATTGCAAGGTGGAGAGCCTCAGACCTCATGGTGTCAAGTACTGACAGCTATCTTGCGAGTCCCACGAGATGGTGCAGAGAAGTGAAAGAGAACATCAGACAAAGCCCTGTGCAGAGATAAGTTAGAGACACCTCCCATTGCCACTCAGCACTAGCCAGGTACCCCTTTACTTCTGAAATTGTCCTGTTTACTCAGCCTTTCACCCATTTCTCAGCTCAGATTTAGCCCATCACATGCAGTAAGTGCACTGGCTGTCTAGCACTTCGTGAAGCACTAGGACAGGCTTGCTTCAGGAACTGACAGAAGAAAATGACCATCAGGCCTGCCAGGAGTAAGCAGTATCTGCCCAGCTGGCAGGCGCCTTCCCCAGCCAGAGGAAGAGACATGCCCTTATGTCACTTTTCCTAACCGGCGAGAGGACTGCCTACATTATTTCAAGGGTGGAGAGACAATTTTGGACAGAAGTTGCCAAATAGACTCCATTTTAGTCAATTGTCCACTGGCAGGGCGCATTCTGTTCAAAGAGCTGCCTAAGTTTGGAATATAGAGTGTGGCCACGATGGGAAATTTTCTTCAAAAACCCATCACCTCCTGGACTGTACTGTAGTTCTGCCTGCTGCTGTCTGACCTGGCAAATCCAGAGTGATGTGGTACCTCTCCCCAGGGCAAAGCGGCATTTTGTATTGGCAGATCTGCCTACGGACCTGGGCCAGTGACTATGCAGGGGGATAATTACTCCAGAACGGAATGAGAACTTTTGACCTCCAGAGCACAGCACGAGGCAGTTTTTCCCTTCCCAAGGGAACTACTGAAGAAGCAAACATTATTATGGATGACGCAGATGAGAAAATGAGAAATGGGGACAGAGAAGGAGGATGTATTGTTTAAATGGAAATTTTTTAATTTATCACATTTAATTTCCTATCAGCACATCTAGAATTCAAAGAAGTACTGTTTAGATGAATAGCATGAAAAATTACCACTCAACATTCATTTCCAAATAATCTGGGTAACTGCTGTGGCATTTCTTCAAGTCTAGGGAACCACCAAAGGAGGCAGCCTAGTGCCCTCTTGCGGGTTTCAGTGGCTAAAGCAAAACGTGTCTTGCAGACCATTTTAGTGCTATGAAAACGAGGGGAGCAGCACACCGCTTCTCCCAGAAAGTAAACCAGCTTTTTGATTGCAGGTTTGTTTGATTCCGAGTTTTCTGGAGGTGAAAGATAAAGCAAAGTGACATCTTTGTGCTACAGTAGGATTTTTTTTAATAACTCACTAATTATTAAAACTATACCATAGAAGTTTTCAGTATAATTCTCTATACCCGTATTCAAAGAGCTTAAATCAACTTTGTCATGTTGTGTTTTAATTGCCATGTTCTCATCTCCTTACCAAAAAAAGGTTTTAGAGTAGGGACAGAAATGGAAGATGACCATTTGGTTACCCTCACAGAAGCCGACTCAACTAGAAATTACCTTTTTCATTCATGTTTTTCTTACACGACCTTTTCCATGCTACTTCCAGTTTTCACTGACATGCACCCCTAGACTCTGCACTTCAGCTTAGTAAGCCAAGTCTCAGAGGAACTTATTTTGAACCTTCTATATATAGAAATGTCTTACATAATTGGAGCCTATTAAATCCTTAGGGTCCACACAAGGCTGAATTAGTTTTTTTTTTAATCCACATTGCATAGAATAACCTCTGAAAACCTAACCTAACGTACCTGTAAGGATATTCACTTGGTTGGCTTGATGTTAAAAACGTCATAAAGCCACAAACAGATTACTTGGGTCAGGTAATAGATGGCACTGAAATCCTTTTGTGAGGTGGAGTTATGTCACCCAAATGCATAAAATTTCATAAGGAATAAGCGTATATGTTTCTCAGCATTTTTATATTGGAAGTTTATGTTTGGTAAAAGAAAGTTAATATCCCATAGTTAGACTTACAAAAGTCTGAGGAATAAAAAAGTTTTCATAAACTTTTTTGATTACTCCTGTAAAAGAATGCTTGCAAATAGGTGTTAACTATCATGATTGCTGTACACTTGCATGCTACTACTCAGTCCTCTGAAGATGTCAAAATGATCTCTCTACAAATAGCACGCTATTTACAAATAAGCAAGCTTTATTCTTTCCATTGGTTTTAGAATGTGAGTGAAATGAATTTTGGTTTTCAAAACCAAAAAAGCAAAGGCTGTTGTTAATAAAATAAACTAAAAAATACCCAGTAGAGAGCACACCCTAAAGTTGTTTCCTGGCTGTTGTCTTGCAGGGATCATGCACGCACTAATACCATCCTGCTCCCATCAGGTATGTCCTATTTCAGAGAGAGAACAAACTTAGGGTTTAACTATAAAACTCTTATAACAAGCATTTTTAATTATGTTATTCTTATTCAAGATAAAAGCCTGGATAGTCTCTCAGATTTCTGTCTCTCAGACAAATTGGTCATGCTGTTATGAGGGAAATAACCAATGGTACTATCCCAACAGGGTTGACAGAACTAGTGTATCAACTAGCAAGAGCACACGGGTCAGAGAAATGTGTCAATCCCCACCTTTCTTCCCACACTACTAATCCATCCCATAGAGGTTACCTCACACGTGTCCCTTGTACGGGATTACCGCTGTCCCAGACAGCCGGAAATCTTGAGGGGGTAACCAGCTTGTGTGTGTTTCATGGTGTACAGGTACGGAGTTCTACCTGGCTATTGCATATGGTAGAAACTCCAGACCCAGGAGCCTTCACTCAGGCACGCCAGCAGGCTGCTTTAAAGACTAAGCTGGCATCTCCACAGTGCAGTACTTGCGCCATTCGGGGGAGCGCCAACACCTCTCCACCACCTTCCCCTTGCACAGCGGATCCGCTGGCGCTGACGTGCTAAAGTCAGATCACAGCAGTTCTCCGCAGGGAAGGACAGATGGGGTTTTCCTAGGTAATTCACCATAACACACAGAACAGAGAATAGGTTCAAAGTGTATGCAACATTTTATTGAAAAAATACGAATGTTCTGTACATAAAGTACAACTCAATGGGCTTGATAAAATCTCCAGAGACTTATTGGTTAATATAGGTCTTCTTTTCTTCTTTTTCCTCTAAGGGCATAAAGCATACAATGAAGCAGCAGGTCCCCTGTACTTGTGCAAGTGTAATCCCATCGCTGTGCGTGCAGCATAGCACCTGGCTCTACACACGGGACTCCAACATGCTCAATGTACTTTGATGGATGGTCTGCAAGAAATTTAAAGCATGGAAGAACTGCACAGGACTGGTCCTTCAATCCACTGATGATTCAGAATTTATTGTGAGCTCTCTGTTATCCTAAACAGTCTGCATCTGCGTATCCAATATTTCTGACAAATAAATACAAAAATAAATAGGGATCTGGCCTCACAGAACCTCAAGTCTCGGAAGCAACACAATTTGTAGCAAGCTACATACATAATTTCAACTCTATCAACATAATTTATTTAAATCTCTATCAATAAATTTATTAAAAGTATAAATTCTTATCCAATACTGAGAGTTTAGTTCTGGAAATAAACCCAGAAAGACAAAGCTTTTTCAGTCCTCTCTTACAATTTAGTGTGCTCTTAGAAAATGCTTTATAGCTGAACTTCAGCAGAAACTAGCTGCTATATAATGTAATTCTATCCCCCAAACCTAATATAAAAAGCTTTTAAAATCTTTTTACAGTAACTGGCTTTCATGTCCTAACTTTACATACAGTTACTAAAAATACTGCACATAGCAGTGCGGACTAAAAATAGGTTTAGTGTTAAAACTACATGCACAAATGCTGAAGTACCAAAGCAGAAACTGAATAATGTGGCAGCTTCACAATTAACTTATGTTGCTAACTGGATGGCATAACAATACTGCAATCCCAAAAGATATGTATGTTGCAAATGGAAAGACAATGAATAGGACTGGATGAGGAGAAAATTAGGCAAAAAACCTTTTTTTCTTCTCCCATTTAAAACTGGAATGTCCGTTATCGCCAAGAAGGTAAATGTAGACCAGTGTTAGAAGCTTGTACTAAATCAGGAGTAAATTGTGATGACTTCTCGGCCACCTCCTCTAACAAGTAATACTCTCTCCAGACCCTCAGTCAAGACTTCAAGAAACTCCATGTCTATTTCGATGAAGTTAAGGACAAAAGAAATATCAAAACCAAAATACACCATGATTAGCCTCTGTATTGGGTTTACGTTACAAGGTTTTGCTAGTGGGAAGGCTGCAGAGGCATCCTCTGCGAGACGAGACCCGGGGCTGCCCTCATATTGGACAGAGCCAGTTTCAGCCGGCTCCAAAATGAACCCGCCACTGCCCAAAGCTGAGCCTGTCAGTGATGCTGGTGGCACCAGGTTACACAGTCACACTCCCTCCTAGCCGCTCTCCATGAATACTGAGTGTTTTTCAGTCACAGTGGCTCAGCCTCTCCAGGGAAGGGTGAAGGAATAAGCATCCCCACCCATAACCTCAAGTTTAAAATCTCTCCTGAGCTGTAGTAGCCGTGGTTGAAACCCCCTTATGCCAAGAGGAGTGTTTTTATCCTTTCTTCGGCCAGCACACTGTTGTGAAACAGACATTACTACTACTACTATCTAGATTTAGGAGAAAACAATCATTTGGTCCGTGATTTGTGACATATATTTTTTTGGCACAGGCCAGTGAAAAGCTTGCTAATTTAATGGTACAAAGCAAGGCTGAAGAGCAGCTGTGGACAGAGAACTGCAGTGCCAACAGGCTCACCAGATCGCAAACCTCAGCTCTGGCCTCGCTCAGAGGCACGGTGCCGGTATCCCTCTAAGTGCCCAAATACTGTGGGTTTGAATTTTAATCTTACCAGAGCATTGCGCTTGGAGCTAAGCTCCCAAATTCTGCTGTGTGAGCTGTGCCTGAGATACGCCCTCTCCTTCAGCACTTCCTGTTCACTCGAGTTCAGACACGCCCTGCCCAGAGTGCTGGCTGCTGCAAATGCCTTCTTAAACATCTGCTACATCCGCGATTGAGAATTAAATTAACTAAATTAAATAAATAAATGAAATCAAGTCAGAATTTAGACAAGACTGATTTCAAACCTACAAGGCTTCCAGAGCAGCCAGTGGCACCTTATACTTCAAGCAATTACTACGTAAGAGCCACAAGCCAGTACCCTCCCCTCAGTGGACACTTTGTCACATATTGCAGCTTGACAGCATTTGTGGCAAAATAAATTCGAGAGCACAGGTTAGAGAAAGATCTTCTATGTGGACCAGGCCTTGCCTGAAAGTATACAGTTTTCATCACCATCAGTATTCTTTGGAGGACCAGGCATGTTGAGGAGAACAAGTCTGGCATCATGGGATCTATTTACAATAACTTCATTTAGCTTCACTGCTGTGTGCATTCTTCGGACATTAGACTGGTTCCTGTAGAAGAAGCACATTCAGATTTACTGTTAGAAACATGCCTCTGAAAACTGAATTATTAAAAAGGCCCTTAAAAGCATACCTTAAATCTCCTAAATACCTTGTTAAATGTCAACTCAACACACAGTAAACTTTTTCAAACTTAATGATGGAGACACAGAAGAGCTTTTCACAGAGTTCTTCAGGTACTGCTACTCCATGGGTTTTAAGATCCCTGGAGTCAAGTCTCCAGTTTATGACGTTATATTGCTCTTCAAGAAGCATATTTTGTAAAGGTGATTTACAGTCTTGCATAAGAAGTTAAAACACATTTGCACGAGGGGACATGCTCTTTCACTGCAGACACTTGTGACTGCAGAGCCTTCCCTTCTGGCAGCCCTCTCCAGATCCCCTCACTCCCATGGCAGCACAGACCATGCACCTCTCCGGACTCAGTATCGTAACACTCTTTCTCAGAGACCCGTCAGAACCAAGTAGGAGACTGGCACCATTGTGCTCAGTCCGCACTTCCCATGAGCGCACATGTCTTTTTGTGTTGAACAGCAGTTGACATCTCCAGAGAAAGCCTGGTTTCCTACAGATTCGTAGGCTGGAACGCAGCCTACAGATGGCTGGATGCATGCCTGCTTATGGGGCTTTCTGGTGTATAATAAGGATTTTAACCTTTCCTTCAGTTGGAAACTAACCACCTCTCTGCCTGGCTATTTGCAAGAAAAACTTATGACCCAAGTATCTTTAAAATCTCAGTCATGCTTTCAAATTTGAGTAGCCACTTGGTTCAAAAGTTATGGGAGAGAAGGGAATAGATGCAGCATGATCTCATAAGCCTCTGCTCCTTAAGAATCCAGGCTAAGAGAGGTAACAGGATTAATTATTCAGAATACATCATCACAAAATAACACGGATTGATGCAGTAACAGAACTGGAAAGTATCCTTTGGGGAGTTTGAGCCGGGGAATGTTTCCTTCCTACAGGAAATCAACCATTATTTTGGTAATGTAAAAGGAAAAACAATACAGAAATAGACTTATCAGAGGGAGAATATATTTGCAGCTTTGAGGATTTTCCACTTGTTAATATATTAAAATGAAGAAAAAAACAAGTATTAGTAGAAACGAATCAAATATGAATCTGTAGTTTTGTTAATTCAGCTTTACATGTTATGAGTGGGATTCTTTAGTAACCTTGCTGTTCTTCCAAATATTTAGGTTTGCAAAGAAATATTTTATATATACAGAAAATAGAAGATACCATGGTAAGAATAATGTTTATTATGCTAACAACACAATTTACCCACTTCGAATTACCTCTCTGTTATTTCATGTTCTTATTTAATTTACAGCAAGGACATCCTCTGTCTTCACCACGTCAGCTTCAGAAAGCCAGGGACAACACAGAGGCCAGATTATGTTTACAGGAAGCGAGGAAGAAACCAGCACCAGAAACAATATCCTGTTATTAACTACGTATAGTTTTGCAAAAGTAATTGAAAACTAAAGGTTTGGTATTCTCTAAAGTGACATTTAAAATTGGCCTCTCCCCAATGATTTGAAGTTGTAGGCTATAAGAAAGGGTTTGTTTGGTGTCCAGAAACTGCCAGAAATAACACCATAGCAGTGTTGTGGAGCGAGAGCTTCTCTAAATGAGTAACGTTTCCCACTTCTTGTGTCATACTCTGCTTAAGAAAACAGGTTCGGACCTGTAATTGTTTTCTATCCTGACTTAGTTCTTGTCAGGACAACTCTTGTAGTTTGGTATGTGCTATTTATAATGATACTTAGCTGAAGTGGCTAATCCTGTTCCCTTTAAAAACATCGCTGACTGCTCAACTGTAACTCCTTTTCTTTTCTTCCATAATTATATATAGTTTTTCTGCTTTTAAGTAAGAAAATGAAGTCTTCCCTCTCAACCATCTTAATGTACTTCTAAGTTAAATAACAAACTTACAAGTTTTCCCACTCTCTGAAAGCATGGAAGAGGAAAAAGTACAGGTAGTTAACACCAAATTCAGCAGAATTTCTACAGTATATAAACTATATATGATTCATCCTAAACCAGATTTGAATTCTCACTGATTTATTAGGAAGAAGAATCTGGAACGTTGCCAAGTATGCAAAGCTGACTGAGTGAACACTTCGTGTAAGATGTAATAACATCAAAGAGGTCACAGGAGATTCACACGTTTTTATATAAAGCCACAAATAGAGCTTCACTTCTAGCCATTCAAGGGGCACACACGTGGCAATGCTAAGGCTGTCGTTACATGTCAGTGCTCCTTCAACAGCAAGTCTGTCTTAGAGGGTTTTATCACACACACATTCTATTCACAGTCATTCATCACCATCTCCACAGCTTCTTCCTTGCTGCGTTAAACATCCGCGCTACACATTAGATAGTGAAGTTATCAGTCTGGTTTTTAATTGTGTGTTTTGTTGAGGTATTTGGGAGACAGGAGGAAAGTTATAATAGGATTTAACAGCTCCAATTTAGAATTTGACTATACCAAGTAAGATGTTGAGGGATGTGTGCCACATTTAATTGGTTAGGGAGATTTCTCAGGAGGCTAACTGCTGTGTTTTCAGTAGTCGGGTCTCAATGTTTATTGCGTAAGTCTAAACCAAGGATTAGGAGACAAAAGATAATAAAAGCACAGCACATCTAGAGTTTCAGGAGGTGCAAGCTGTTGACTTGGACAAGACTCACGGCTTAATGCTGATGAGATCTCTAAAGCTTCCCACAGCACTGCCTCGGTTCCGCTTCTCAGCGTCACATTTCTCTTTTGTCCAGGTCATCTGGATGTTCTCAGGAACTGGGTCCCCCTCATCTTCTTCGTCTGAGTAGAGGCTCTCCAGACGTGCTATTGAATGTCTGTCCTTTACCAGCTGAGCCTAGAGGGCACATGAATGACAAGGTGAACTCAGAGACTTTATTTTACGTTCTCTGGTTCTGTTTAAGCAATGAAAGACGTTTTGTTCTGTTGTATCCTTTATTTTGTACAGTCGATTTAGCATTTAGGACAGCTCTGATATCACGCATCTGCCCTAGCCAATAATCTTGCATACCAAACTGGCTTTGAACAGTTGTGATGGGTGTAAGCCGTGCAGAATTTGGACTAACAGAGGCCTGTACCGATAAAACAAAAAAAAAAAAAAAAAAAAAA